CAAACCAGACAATTGCTTTTCCATACTAACTTGTAAAAAGTAAAAAAAATATTTTAAAATACTCTTCTTTAGGGTTAGGAGACGTTTCAGCTGGTATAGTGCTTTGCTAAGAAAGCGCAGGGACCTGAGCCTGATCTCTAGCACTCATGTGAACTCTTGGGCACGGTAGTGTACCTCTAACCTCAGGTTGGAGACTGACGATAGCACAATCAATGCACAGGGTGTGCTGGCCAGCTACTCCTGCTGAATTGACAAGCTCCAGGTTCAAGCTCCTTGTAGTGATTGAGGAAGACAATTGATGCGAACTTATGCATTCTGCAAACATGCAAAAGTACCTGTACATACCTACATCAACACTCAAAGACACTATCCTTCCAGAAATGTCTTCATACACTAAAAGCTGGTCTCAGTACCAGTAAAATCCATTTCTTCATCTTCAGATGTTTCTCAGCTTCAAAGGAATACACCTAAGTTTAAGTGTAGTAGGGGTTTTCTGTTATATTGCCTTGCAAGCTAAAATTGGAGGAATCTAAATGGTGCAGTGGTTAAGAACACTCAGCTCCTCCAGAGGACCCAAGTTCCATTCCCAGAACCCACTTAAGGTGGCTAATAACTTCAGGGGCCTTTAACTCCAGCTGTAGGGACATCCAATTCTTTCTGTCCTGTGTTCTCACAGACACTTAAGTACACATGCTTATACTTGGACATATAATAGAAAGTAAAATAAAATCTAAAAATAAACAACCAAACAACAACAGCTATCAAACAAATCTGCTCCTGCTCTAAACGCTGCTACATGAGTCAGTCATGGTGCTTGATGATGGTGTGAATTCTGGGAAGAATGTTGTGAGGTAGCTTTGTTGATAGTAAGTGCAGAAAGCTAGGCTACACCAAGGCTGTGTGGCATGTGAAGTCACTTATACAGTATGTTCCTGACCAGAACACATGTGCTACGTTGCTGTAATATGAGCTTACATAGTTTCAAGAGTATTGTAAAGGAAAGGTAGGGATTAGGAACGATTCAATCTCTCACTGATTGTCAAAACATATTAAGGAAAACAGACATTTAGAGCTGAAAATCATTTTAGTACTCCATGAGTCCTTTCACTTTTTACAGAACATAAACAATTGTATGACTCTTCCTTTCTCCATTGTAGTGATGCTTTTGATATACAGTATGGAGTTGTGGTCATCCGCCTAAAGGAAGGACTGGACATATCACACCTCCAAGGACAAGGTGAGTGCTCCTCACAGAAGATTCTCTTAAAAGTATGAATTACTTTGTTAGAAAAGTGTGCTAACCAGTACAGGACTGATCCAGACCCCTGAACATGGATGTCAATGAGAAGGCCTCCACACTCTAGGGGGCCCCTGGGTAGTAGATTAGTATTTTTCCCTGGTATAAGAAGGGACTTTGAGAGCCCATCCCACGTGAAGGGAATTACTCTCGGCCTGGACACATGGGGTGCTAGGCCCGGCCCAGGATGATGTGGTGGACTTTGGGGAGCTCCCGTTGAGGGCCCTACCCTGCCTGGGGAATGGAGGGTCTTGAACTAAAAAAAAAATACAAAAAAAAAAAAAGAAAGAAAGAAAGTAGATTAGTTGGAAATAGAAAGGGTGCTAAGTGGAGTGGTAAAGAGATACAGGATAATAGGAATGAATGAATATAATCTAAATACATTATGCATATGCACTAAAATGTTGTGTTGAAGTTCATTGTTATGTGTGGTTAATATATGCTAATAAAAGCATTTAAAGTGGCAAAAAAAGAAAAGTGTGCCTAATTATTACTTCCTTCACTGATTTTCATGACTGCCATCTTCTTCATGTCACATGCCTATCATCTTAGGATCAGACGTGCTTGCAAACCACCAATGTCTGCATCTTAAAGGATGGCTAGTTATTATTAATGGAGAGGATAAAATTTAGTATAAATCACAGCCTTAAGAAAGGCAGACATTAATTATGATTATAAATTGGACAACCAAATTTGTTTTAAAAGCTAGGATGAGAAAAATATTTAAACCACTACTAAAATACTTAGGCTGCAAATTAAATAATACAAATGTATACATTTAAAGTATTTTTAAAGTGATGGTTAAAACCTAATTTAAGGTATAACTTTCTTGCCGATTTTATGAAAATGGAAATTTCCATATCATTCAAAAATATTTGCTAATTCAAAAATATTGAATAGCTACCATTTCCCCCTGTCAGTTAGTTAATGAACTCATCAGATTATCTGAATTTGGATGGACAAGAAGCATATAAAAGCTTGTGATCAGTTCATGGATTTAGACTCTTTAACTTCATGCTCTCCTTCAAGAGTGGTCTGCAACTTTGAAGGAACATTTTGAGGTCTTTATGAAATAAGCAAGCATAGCTTACTGCAAAGGCACTTTCCTTTTCTGGAAGGAACCTGGCAAAACCTCATTTGAAGTCTTCTGACAGTGGCTATGTTTAGAGAACCTGACTCATACCCATTAACACTGCATAATTAGAAGCAATGCCTCCACCAGGCAAAAGAATAATGTATTATTCAGTTATGTTTTTACTGGGGTTTGAGTGTGACTGAAAAATTAAAAAGTATTATGTATTAATGACCTTTATGAAGTGCTTTTCTGAAGGCCTTTCCTATTGCTAGCATCTGGTCTTGGGCCCAGGTAGCCTTTTCCTGTAATTTGTAGCCTGGGCAAGTTTGGTGGCTTTTGGGCCTGTTTGCTTCTCTGTTAATGCCTAGTGATGTACCTCATAGGGCTGTCCTGAGCAGTAAAGAGGTAAATCCTTTTAACTCCTTAGTTTAGTGCTGGAACTTGAATTCCATAGTTTCTATTGTTTCTCTCCATCCATACAAATTAGTGGTGAGGATTATGGGCAAATACCAATTTTGTACTGTATTGTCTTTATGTTTTACAGTTGAAGTTTAATATTTACTAAGTATTTGCCAAAATTTGAAAATGCTTTAAGAAGAATTGGTACCTTTCTTGGACTTGTTAGGAAAAGACTACTTCTAATATTGTGACTTTTAGTTATGGAATAATTTTCCAGGTTACTTGTCCTTTATGTGCCTGTGGACATTTGATAGTTACATTTTTATATTAAAACTACCTTTGAGAGTAGAGTTTCTTTAAAGCCTACATAATATCTTTTTGCCTACTGTATTCTATTTTTATGCGATTTCTCATTTATTACTTATTCCCCAGAAGCCACTAGTGGCTGACATATTTATGTGGACAGTTATTTTAAACAACATTGTTTCTTAAGAAATCACTTATTACACTGTTTCACAAGGGATACTAGTTACCTTTTTACTATTAAACCATGATACTTTAACTAGTTAAAATATGATTTTTGATACTGTTTTAAATACTTTCATATCTACAGAAGAATTATTATCTTCACAAGAAAAATCACCTGGTACCAAGGATGTGGTGGTAAATGTGGACTACAGTAAAAAGTCAGATCAAGATACTTGCAAATCATCTGGTGAAAAATCTATTACACATAAAGGTAATTTTCATTCAAACAAAAATTAACTGTTTTAATTGGAGGGGATTGGGTTTTGAGTATAATATACATTACAAAGTTCCTTTTCTTAAGCTAGACATTGTTTTCAATTTTAAAGTGTTTGCTTTCCTTAAAACAGAAGCCATGCCAATTAATTTGTTACTAGCATAGTTTTAAGTAGTTTGCTTCAAAATATTTTTGTTTGAAGTTGGGAAGAACATGTACTTTTTCATGAGGCTTACAGATAATTTCATCCACAAACTTGTGTGTCATGTTGTAAGAAGAGGGATGACTTCCAAATCTTACTCTCCCACCCTCACTCTCCAACCTCTGTTCAGACTCGTATCTCCATCTGTCCTGTTCCAACTGATAACGCAACAAGAAAGAAATCTGCACTGTAAATCATCAAGCCATAGTGTACTTTTGATTTCTCTGAGATGACTACCACCTTTTTTATGAAATTGATAGCCTTGGACAAACCATGTCTCTGCTCAATTTATCTTTTAGATTATTTGAAAACATTAATGTTGCTTTTTATTCTTTTCTTTCCTGTGTAACTTGCCTACTGTAATAGAAAGTGTAGCTTGCATGCATTTCTCCTTTCAGTCCTTGGTAGCTTTATTATTCTCTTTTGTGTTGTCTATATACTTCACAAGCTGACTCTGTTCATTTGCTTTTGCATTTATTTTATGTGTACATTTTTATGCCCTTCCCCCATTTTCTTGCCTGAAACAGAGCCTTTCTATATAGTCTATGAGGAATAAATGCATGCAGTGATATTGACCATTTCCTAGAAGCTGCTCTGCACTCACATCTAAGTAGATGTTAATATGAACGTTAGTTTACTTATTAATGTGTGCTACAACTTCATATTTTTAAAGAATAGGAATCTAGGTTAGGACATTTCTACTCCATTGGAAAATTTTAGATGCATTTAGTGTAATTTAAGAATCATTTTGCTGGGTAAGAAGGCCCCGTTGGAAAAAGGCCTTTGCTGCTAAGTCTTATGACTTCACTTTGATCCCTAGGACCCAGAGAGTGGAAGGGAGAGAGCTGAATCCTACAAGTTGTCTCAAATGCTGCTGTGTCTTTGGCATTTAAATTCCTTTAAATGAATATAAACTATCTACCACTATATTTTCAAAAGCAGATATCATTACTTTATAATGGTAATATTTAAAATTTAGTTATTTTCCCACAACATGCATAAAGTAACAGTTGTATAGATTGACTTTTACTTTTTGTAAAAAAAAAAAGAAAGAAAGAAAAGAAAAAAAAATTCAGGATTAGGAACATTCTAATATATAGTCATTCTAATATATAATATTTAGTTTTATCTGTCTTACTTACTGAGGCATATAATACAAGGGGACAAAAAGAGAATACCCTGTAAGTACTTGGTTTGTGCCAGCCTAAGCTCATGTCAGCAATGCCTGCAATTTTACAGGCTTAAGAGGTAGGTAGATTTCTACCAATGAGAAAGCAAGACGTCAACTAAGTGGCTTTACCTCATAGAGGGTAGTGTTGGAGATATTGTTGAAAGCCTGGGAGTCTTAGGTAGGATCACTCTGCAGAATGTTCTTTCTAAGTCTAGAGTCTGCTTGCCTTAACAAGTAAATTTACATTCATGGGGAAAAAGAGTTAGGAAAACTACTTACTCTGGAAAGCAAGTTAGTGAATATTTAAATATAAGCGGGTGAATATATGCACACATTTGCATATTACATAAACTTTATTCGAGGAAAATGCCTCCTTTACAAACTGGCATCAAATTCCTTAATATTTCAAGTACTGATTGACTTGTACAAATACCAGGTGCTTTTAGTCATTGTGTAGTGATGTAGTGGCGTGTTTAAAGCTTATGTGTATCTGCAGAGATGGTTGCTCAGAGTCATGCTTCCACTCTCCACACTGTAGGTTGACATTCTCATCTAATTTCAAGTATGAAAACTTAAAGTTTACAAAATCTGCTGACTCTTTTGAATAATTTTACAGAAACAAAAATTCAGTGTGGGTGTTCATCATTCACTCTGTATGGTCTTTATAAAATATGTATCTTTTAAAAATACTGAACACTCAGTATAGAAAATATTAATTTTCAGTATTAATCATTTCTCATGGACTGTTTCTTCACATTGTCTTGTTTATAATGTGCTCTATTTACATTTCCATTACTCTTGATTATAAAGGCAATTAACTTCATATTTTGTGTTTTTTAAACATAATCTAGATGAGGAAGAGGATGGCAAGACTCCAACTCAGCCACTGTTGAAAAAAGGCAGGCATTGTTCATCATTTTATTTTAATCCCTCTTTTCATAGTGTTAACTCTTTAATTCCAACCCTATTATTTTTCTTTTATTTTCATTTAGTTTTTATTTCCATGGTGAGGTGATATTACAGTTATCTATTAAATGCAGATTAGAAAAATTTGATTCCAACTAAGGCATTAAGTCTCTCTGGGACAAGCTGTTATTTCACAGTCTTTTGAATTGTCATGGTGTTTCTGAAATACATACATAGACCTGGAAAGGCAGGGTTTTTTTTGGTTTGGGGGATTTTTCTTAATTTAAACTGCATGGTTTAGATGATAAGTGGCGACACTGAAATAGGTGTATCTGCAGTGTCACTTACACTCTTTACCATCAGTTGTACCCAGCCAAATTCTTGATTTTGATACTAATATATTTTTCGTTTCAAAAATTGCAATATTTCTCACAGTCATGCTGCGTTTGGGAGATACACAGTCATGTCAGCGTAAATGAATTTTATGAGAAGGAGATAGAGGTGAGAGTTATGGAGCAGTGTGGTTTGGTAGCCATATTATGCATCATCATGCAAAACCATTTGTCATGTTTGCTTACTTCATGGCGGCATGAAAAGTGAATGATGGACCTTCTGGTAAATTGACCAGAGATCCTTCTGTGAATTTCTGTTTTTAAAATTGTGACAGTGGAGTTCCATAATAATCATTTGCTTGCTCACAGAGTCAATGCTGATTTTTTTTTTTAATTCCTAGAAATGTAAATGGGAACTCCTTTCAGAAATGCAGCATATTTATTTGTATCCTTTCTAAGGAGTTCCTGCCATCTTTCTGTGATTCAGAGAAAGATGTGGTCATGTGGCTTTAAAACTGGGCATCACATGTTGAGGGGACAAATGATTGATGAGCACATTTCCCTGGTAATTGTAAGAGTATATCGGTGTTTATCCAATCATCTTGCACATACAGCTTTTTATTTAACTTTGAACTCTAAGTCATTGAGATACCAGATAATAGAAGAAATCTCACAGAACAAGTGTAGTTTGATTTGTTAGTCTGAGATAGCTTTCCAGGAAAACTGAACCGTATCAGTAAATGTTTGGTGCTGAGGATTCCTGCACATTCACCAGAATACTTCAGAACACTAGACCTAGGATAATTTGGATGACTTTACCTATTGTAAAACAAAAAGCACTTTGTTGTACTCAAATTATATCTGTTATAAGCTGCAGGTTTATGATAGAAACCATATACAGATCTGCATATAAATATATCTGAATTTACAAATGCTAGGAAATTCTAGGAGTGCAGTAAAAGGAGATTTAACTTTTCTCCCTTTATGTCATAATTTTTTGCTTAATCCTTCAGAATCCCAAGGGCCTGTTGCACCTTTAAATGTAGCTGACCAAAAGCTTCTTGAAGCTAGTACACAGTTTCAGAAAAAACAAGGGAAGAATACTATTGATGTCTGGTGGCTTTTTGATGATGGAGGTAAGGCCATTAATTTTTTTTTGTTGTTGTTGTTTTTTAGGGGGGGAGGTTCTAGACAGGGTTTCTCTGTGGCTTTGGAGGCTGTCCTGGAACTACCTCTTGTAGACCAGGCTGGTTTAGAACTCACAGAGATCTGCCTGCCTCCTGAATGCGGGGACTAAAGGCATGCGCCACCACCGCCTGGCTATAAATGTATTTTTTAAAAAGTTAGAAATTTACTGAAGATGTAAGAATAGTGCTAAGAAATTACATATGTTTTTTATGTGTTTAACACATTCAGATTTTACCAGCATGCTCAAATAGCACAAGAATCAGTGCGAGAATCATACAAAGTGGTCATGTCTCTTCAGGGTCCTTCATGTAGAAGGTGCTTCAGTCCTTCTTGAACTTTGTGACAATGCCATTTTATTAACTATTACAGACTAGTTTATGGAATGTCACTCAATTTGGAATGCAGTTAGCCTGGTCACAATCAGTTTCAGGTTATGAATCCTTGGCAGAAATAGCACAGAAGTGGTACTCTGCTCTCCTGTCTATATCTCACCAAGAGTGGCATATTGGTGTAAAGTAAGCTGTTGAATCAAGTGTACTTTTTCAGACTTACCCACTGAAAAGTTGCTTCCCCCTCTTTGTGGTTACAGATGTGGTAGCGGGGCTCTGGGAGACTCTGCAGATCTACCGTTCTTCCTCAGCTATTCACCTGAATTAACATTCATTCACTTGTGTTTCTGAATTGGCTCTTGGTGATGCATTTTCACTCCCATTATTCTTTCTTCATTGATTGGTTGGCATTTCATTGTAAAAAAAGAGCTTGTCTCTTCATTTCAAGTCATTGATTCTGAGTTTATCCAAAAGGGTATAATTTATTACTGTCATCATTTATATAGTTTTCAGTTGTCCACATCTCGCCAGCAGGGTCTTCCTTCACTTCCCTAGGATGGCTTAATGTGTTCATTTGACATAGGGCACTCATTTTAGAAGTTGCTTCCTGAAATAAGATGGTACCCTAGACTTAACCCATCCTCACTATGGAAAGGAAATTTTATCCAAGGACTCTCATTCCTTTTAGTCAAGAAGTACTTAAGAGTAATACACTGTGGCTTCTTTGGAAACTCTTCATTACCAGGCCCCTCAGTGGACAAAGCTGGGAATATATGTAACATGTATGTGTGCATGTATGCACTATATAGATCTTGAACACCAATTCCAGTCTACCTTTTTCCCTTTTCATCTTTATTATTTCAGTGTGAAACTTAACTTCCATTAGTCTATATCATTTCATTTCACTCTCTGTCTGGAACTCATTTTCTGACTGCCTAAGCCACCATCCTATTTGATTGCTTACACAAAGAACTGCAATTCTTGGACTGAACCACAACTCTTGGACCACCCTCATTGAAGGAAATTGTCAAGGGAGGACAAATTTTACTTTACATTGAGTTATAGTAAAAGTGTTTTTTGAGACCAAGTTGAAAATAATTTTTTTGTTTGAGATATTAACATTTTAAGAGGGACTTATTGTATTTTTATAATTCAGGTTTGACCTTGTTGATACCCTATCTTCTGACTACCAAGAAAAAGTGGAAAGATTGTAAGATCCGAGTATTCATTGGTGGAAAAATAAACAGAATAGACCATGACCGGAGAGCGTAAGTTTGTTTTAAACTGGAGAACATTAATCGAATAGCTATATCATGATAGAGGTTTGATAAAATAAAGCCATATAGACCCTGAAGTATTAATTATACTGCAAAAGTCTAATTAAATAGAACCTCATCCTCTTTAATTTTTGACATCTACATTTAAATTATAAATGTGTAATTTTACTTAGATGTAATAGTTTAACACACTGGCATTTTAGAAAGTCTTTATTAATACCTATACTGTCAGGTATTAGAAGCAAATCTTTGATCTTTTGAGAAAAAGTGCATAGAAATTGCCCTTTCATATATAGAGAAGTTGTGTGGACTTTGGAGACATCAGCATCCTATTGTCTTCTGCACCACCACGAGTCTGGTTTCTGGTGCTTCTTTCCTGGCCTTGTCCTTGCAGGGTACTGAGTGCACTGTTCCCA